ACGAGATGGGGTAAGGGAGAGGGAAAATGAGAGAATAAAATCATTATAAAACATTTTAAAGAATATATATAAATAAATAAAAAATAAAATAAAAAAGAATATACATGAGTTCAGTCTACCATAATCTTAAATAAACTTCCATTACATTTAGAATAAATAAAATAAGGTTGTTAAAATATAAACATAAGCTGAAATCTTCACTTATTGCCAAACTTTCCATTATTATAATCATTGAAAAGTAAAAATTTTTTATTAGCCATTCTTTCCAAAGTAGTATATATGTTTTACTTGATGTTTTTATTCGGTACTCTAGTGGTGACCTTTCAGGAAAAATAGTTTCCAGGCTTCCTCACTTCCTCTCCCCCCCAAACTTTAATCTCCCTCTCCTTACCCTCACCCCATCTCATTTCTATGCCATACTTAAACAAAATTAGAGGGATAAGAGCAGTACCTAGGAATGATTCCAGAGATCTGTTTAAGACAGGAAGGGACCACCAGGCTCTTCTTGGTCATGATAGAGTATCTGTGGATTATTGTAGTACAGTCTAAAGACTTAAACACATGATACAGAGCAGCCTCTTTCCTGCTCTGCCAGCACTCTCTAAGTCACCTCTCACTTAGAGTGTGAGTATTAATTAATAACATAGTTTTCAGCAAACAGTGGGAAGACGGAGTGTCTGATAAGGGATTGTGCGCCTTCTCTCACTGTCTTCAGAGATAAGGCAAAAGGCAGCCTTGCCTTTCTTAATTGGAGAGAGAATACAAAACCATAGACATTTAAAGCTGAAAAAGCTAGGAAGCTAGCTCAGAGGCTAGAAGAGCTTGCGGTTCTGACACAGGACCAAAGCCCAGTTCCAACACTCACCACCCACCCACATCAGGCAGCTCACAACTGCAGCTCCAGGGGACCCAATGCCCTTTTTTTAGCTTCTGCATGCACATGCATGTTTGTCCATATAAACACATAAATACACAAGTAAGTGCTAAAATAAACAAAATAAAATATATCTGGCTAGGGCACAACGTCATGCAGTAGTAAATAATGTGGATGCAATTTGGTCTTTGGACTCTGACACCTCATCAACAGGAGGCTGCTTTTGGTTTTGTCCTCAAGCTAACTAAAATGCTAAATGCTGAACATGGTGTCTTGTGTTTCCTCGTGAATTACTTACTCTTCCCATGGCAGGGACCCCTCATAACCATAACCTAATGATGCAGCCTCTCTGGGAACAGATCCAGAAGCAGAGAACTCATGCCTTAGGAGAGGCACTTCTCAGTGAAGAAAACTCAACTCATTAGAAAATTCTTAAGAAGAACTAGAGTCTGACTTCTAGGAAATTCCAACCATTTAATCTGTAATCTTTTAACTGCAATCAGTCTCTGTAATATACAGAATAGGGAGACTGAGTTAATAGGAAAATTATGTATGGTCTTGAAGACATATGTGTTATGTTTATCTAATTATTCTTTATCAATAAAAAATTGGGAGTCACAACTAGGAACCTAAGCAATAGTGGAGAGGCTACCTTAAATGTCCTCCCCCTATAAGAAGAATGGTGAATACCTTAAATGCCATTCTAGAGCCTACACCCATTAGCTGATGGAAGCAGAAGCAGAGATACAGAGTCAAACACTGAGCCAAACTCGTGGAATCCAGTTTCAGAGAGGGAGGAGTGACAAACAAAGGGGTCAAGACCACACTGGGAAAACCCACAGAAACAGCTGACCTGAGCAAGTGGGAACTCATGGACCCCAGTCTGACAGCTGGGGAACCAGCATAGGACCAAAACAGGCCCTGAACATGGGTGTCAGCTAGGAGCACTGGGCAGTCTATGGGGCCTCTGGCAGTAGAACCAGGATGTCTCCCTAGTGCACAAACAGACTTCGGGAGCCCATTTCCCATAGAGGGATACTCTCCTAGCCTAGATACAGGGGAGGGCCTAGGCCCTGCCCCAAATGACTTGACAGACTTTTATGATCCCTCATGGAAGGCCTCACCCTCCCTGAGGAGTGGATGGGGGATGGGATGGGATGGGAGGTATATAGGAGGCATGGGAGGGTGGGAAGGAGAGGGAACCGAGATTGATATGTAAAATAAGATTGTTTCTAATTTAAATACAATTTATTTAAAAAATGGGAGTCAGATATCAGGGTAAGAAGCTGAATGATCAGAGAAGTGGAGAAGCAATCAGTGACCTCCTAGCTCTTCCCTTCCTCCATCCAAAAGGGCTGAGATCCCCTTTAAGCCTGGTCTTACTACTTCCTATCTCTCTATCTGTCCTCAGTCCTCCAAAACCTCTATGATTAATTTTGGTTAGCTCCGCCCTCCGATTCAAAGCGAACTTTACTGTCAGAATTTGATCAAATTATCACACAACACATATGTACTGGAGACATTTAAATTCTGAATCTTGACACTTCCATTTACTAGTCATATGTCTACACACAAGTTGCTCAACAGTTAAGAGCCTTAACGTCTCCATCTATTAAGAAGATAATAACTATGCACAAGTATTATGAGGCTTAAGATAGCCCATGCAAAGCACCTGATATATCATGAGCATTCCTTTTTCTTCCACACCCATGGATATGGCTGCTACTTGGCAGACAGTTATTTATGTCCCCACTGAATCTGTCTTTCCAACTGAGTCACATACAAAGTTTCCTTCAACCACTTTTCATGAGACTGACCATTGCACTCCAAGGCAAGGACACATAACCAATTCAATACTAAAAAAAAACAAAACAAAAACAAAAAGAAACCTGCCTGACACAGTGTTTGAAAAATAGTTTGTACAGACAGAATGTTAACTAATCAAAATCAAACTGATAGCATGCTCACCCTAACTTGAGTAGCAGGACTTCTTTGTGGGGAGGGGTGTGCTGGGAAATGTTTCAAGACAGAAGCTGTCAGAGTGGAATTCCCCACCCTCAGTTACTTGGCAGGTAAGCCAGAACAAAGGTTTTGCTGAGCAACAAGTCCCTCTTCAGTCTGTTTTCTTACTTTCCCATCCTCATCTTCTCATGGACTTCACTGCTGTCTATTACTCTTGTTTTATAGATCCATCCACTTCTTGTGTCCTTTGAAAGAAGAGGCAAGGATATCTTAAATCACAATCCTTTGTTCTTTAAAACATCTAAGAAGATAACAAAATATTTTCTTCTGAATTACGTACTTGTAAAAGGGACCCAGATCCGTATGGCAATAGACAGTCTTCCCAATGACATCACAGACACACTTCTGTCCCTACCTCAGCTTCCTTAGCTCCTCTCCTCAATACAGAGAGAAAGCCATCATCTGGATGCTCATGTCTGAGCTCCATAAACTATGAAAATGCCCTCTAAAGGCAGTTGTCAATCATATTTTAAAAATAGCACCCTCTTAGGTAAGCAAGGTTTTGCATATCTAACAAAAGATTTTTTTTCCTGACTTGGCCTTTGGGCATGGAGAGCAGAACATGAAAACAGCTGAATCAACCAGTGTCTCCAACCTTGTCCCATGATTAATCAGGGCTTTATTTTAAATACATGATTGACATCCCTTTCTCAAGGTTAGGTCAAACAGAGGCCAGACTGCAGGCAGAGGGAGGAATCAGATGACTCCAGAGGTCCCTGTCAGCCTTGTGATTTGTCAACCAGAAATATAATTATGTCCTCAGGTTAACAACAGAAACAGAACGAAAACAAGAAGTCCACCACCCTGAAGCCCTAAAAATACTTGAAAATTATAACCTACAAAAATCAGTAAGTGGAAAGGAGATCTTTCCACTTCTTTTTGATGAATCCAGTGACTTAAGTAAAGCTACCTAAAAGAGGAAACAAGAGCGGGAGAACTGAAGGCAGAGAAGGAGACGCTAGGTTTGGTGGTGATGAATCAGGTCATTAGACCCAGAGGGTGTCTCCTTCTAAGTAAGCAATTAGAGACTCAATAAAAAGGTCCCAGTGCCTGCCATGGCACACAGCCCGCTGCCCCACATCCGCTTGCTCTCACTCCTGAAGGAGGTAAGGAGGTTAAGTCTTGTAGAGTTGTGTGTGTGCTCAGGGCCTCTGCTGCTGCCTTGCTTACACGTGAGACTGTGGAGACCATGCCAGTAGCTCAGAGGAAGGTCAACCCATGTTCAGGATGCTAAGGTGGGAGTCCTGCCATCCAAGACACAGCATGCAAATAGAAAGACTATAAAGCCCATACCGTAGGTTCTAGTTAATAAGACATGGGACCTAGATCTATGTTAAGATGAAAAAGTAGATTGAATTAAATTAAATTAATGAGGGGGGGACAGGACTGGGTTTTATCACTGAGATCTCATGGAACAATGCTGGTAAAAACCTGTTACACAAGGGCTGATTTTCTGAACACTACCTCTCTTCTTTTTAAATGTTTTATTAACCTGAGAGTTATATGTTCTTTCCTAGCTGACTAGGCTAGACTGAGCCAAAGTGACAGGAAAGCAAATGGGGCCCGGCGACTTAATCTTCCTCTACTGGCTTGAGTTCTTTTCCTTTCTTTCTTTTTTCATCTGTTCTTGAAATAAAGTGTTCTCTCAACACATGAGTGCTACTGTTTATTGTAGCATACAATATCTGTTCTACTACCTACCTATGTTATATCTAACCTCACCACAATGTCCATTGTAAAACTAAATCACTTCTTGAATGCAAGTACAGTATGTAAAATACAGAATATAGTAGGTGCTATGAGCAGGGTTAGGAAGGAACAGGAGGAATGCTTTTCCTAAAGGGCCTATCCTGGGAGGTGAGCCTTGTTCTTTTTTAAGATCTGTTTATTTTTATCTTATGTGTGTGAGTGCCTTGTCTGCATGCATGTCTGTGTGAGGGTGTCAGACTCTGGAGTTACAGACAGTTGTGAGCTGCCATGTGGGTGCTGGGACAGACTCCACCTGCATCCTACATCTTCTGCAAAAGCAAGTGCTCTTAACCACTGAGCCATCTCTCCAGCCCCAATCTTATTCTTACTTGCAGCCTCTTCAACGTTTGTAAAGATGTCGAAGCTCCTGAGAGGTGTCTTCTGCATCATTGAGACATTCCACAAGTATGCCAGCAAGGATGGTGACGACAAGGCAAGGCTGACCCACAGAGAGCTGAGGCAGCTCCTTGAGGGAGAAATCGGGAACTTCCTTCAGGTGAGGAGCCTGCTGGTTCCACTTTGCCACTTTGTAACCCAAGCAGGAAGTGCTACGATGGGCTTGTTTACACTAGCCTAGCTGCTCTCTACTTTTTTTTCCAGTTGCCTCTTTCTCTGCAACTGCTTAGTCAGTCATGCAGAGAAAAAGGAGGTTTCCATTAGCTAACTGTTGCTTCATCCAGGTCAACCTCTGCATGGAGTCACAACCTCATTAGGCTTCTAACTCAGCTTACATGTAATTCAATTGCTAGTGCTAGGCTTAGTACTAAGATTAAAAAAGGGGGGGGCAGGGATCCAGAATTGATGCGTTCTCACGTTTTAAGGCAATTTCACTGTTAAGAGGAGTAAGGTTAATTTTTTTTTAATATTCTCAGGAGACCTTGGTACACATGACCACATGTGAATAAACTGAATTTTTGTGTGTGTGTGTGTGTTTACATGCAGCCACAGGTCTTTCATGCTGTGGAGAGAAAGTTGAACCTTCTGGATGTTGACAGAGATGGCGCCATCAGTTTTGAGGAATTCCTTCTTGAAATCTTCAGCTTATTGAACCTCTTTTCTTTTGACATATCATTACTAAATTCAGAACCAAGACTGATGTCTAAGTCAGAGAAGATGGATGGTGTGGACCTTCTGGAGACCACCAGAAGCAGTCAGAAGGTAGTAGGGGTGGGACCAACTCAAGAAAGGCTGGTGTTGGCATCAGAAACTGTGTCATCCGCTAAGCCCAGCCGTGAAGAAGACGAAACCGATGGACACAATAGGATGAGCCCGTTGGAAGACATTAAGACTCACAACCTGCCACGAGAGGTATCTGAGCCCAATGACCCTGAAAACCAACACCCAGAAGAAGATAGTCAGGAAGTCGCACAAGATGTGCCAGCAACAGAATCTGATGAAGTCCAATTTAAAAGAAATATGTCAATGGAAGCATCCAAACAGAGCAACAGTCCAACACAGGTGATCCCCAAAGAAAGAGGCAAAGTAGTCAGGAGGCAAAGTGACACCAAGGTAAGTGACCATATGGCACAGAGGCCATCTGAAGATGAGGAACATGCCACAGGAAAGAGTATTAAGAAACATTCCACAACACAAGATCCATTACCCCGAAAAGAAGACAGAGCCACGTCGGAGCACGTTGATTTGCCAGTAGAAGCTGCTGCTGGGAAACCATCTGGGACACAGAAGGTTGTTGAGCTTATGGATGATACCAGGATATCTGAAACTGGAGAACCAGGAAAGGATGCTGGCAGAACACCACCCGAAACCACAAATTTAGAGAACCCCAAGGCTGACAGTAGAACATCTGAGACCCAAGGACTGCCAGAGCGAGTAAGAAAACAGGAAACGCGGAACCAGACTGCCCAAAGTGGGAGCAGAGATGATTTAGAAACATCTAGTAGAGGCAAATGGGAGGAGGGGCAGAAAGAACACGAGAGAAAAACCGGATCCCAAGCACCAGAAGCCCAAACACTGGATGAGAAGTGTCAAGAGTTCTCAAGGTCATGGAGGGAAAACGGAGCCAGAAAGGGCTCTGGTACACAAGGGCTAAGCTCAGAGAAAGGGAATGAGAATCTCCCTGAAATTAAGGAGGAATACATCTCAGGAAAAGAGGGAAGACACTGTGAGAAGGACATAGAAGATGCATTTTTAAGCAGCAAAGAGAGCCCGGCAGCTGAAGAGACACAGGAAACAAGAGAAAGTTCACAGGAGCCGGCCCCACTAGAGAAGCAATCTCAAGGAAAAAGTCATAGGGCCACCAGGACCCGTGACCAGCCAGCCAGGAAGGAAGCCCACAGTGAGGGAGAAGATCCTGAGGTGCCAGTCACTCAGAGTGATGAGGACCTTTGTGAAACTCCCAGTGGCCCGGCTCCGGAGGTAGGCAACAGCAGCTCAGATTCCAGTGAACCCCGTGGCTTGCCAGGGGATCTGCAGAGTCAGACAGACACCCAGGGAGACGCTAAGCAAGGAAGTGACAGTAACAACCCGGATCCCCAGAAGCAGGGAGTACCAGGAGAGAGCAGTGGAGTGAAGGAGGCTGTAGAGTTGTCAATCCAAGAAGGCAGCCAGCTCCCAGAGGAACAGGAACAGTCTGCCAGAGAAAAGCAGGATGGTCTAGGGGCAGCTGTGGAGCCCACTGAAGAAGGGGAAGTGCAGGAGTCCACAGCAGGAGGTGAAAACAGAAAATCCCCAGAGGCAGAAAGTTCAGGGGCCCAGTGAGACTACTAAATGTTTATCTATGTGGCTTGCTGAATTAAACACTGAATTAAAGTTGATAATTAATTGATGATCAATTTCTGTTATTGGCTCACTTCTGCATTCTCCATCTTCCCTTGGAGAACTGAAAAGAAACTAACACAATCAATTACGTGTGTGTGTGTGTGTGTGTGTGTGTGTGTGTGTGTGTGTGTGTACGCGCGCGCACGTTTCTTTCCCGGGATTCCACATTTTAAAAATGGTGTTCTCAAGCTTAGCAATGACCCAGGAGCAGTTATATGTTTTCTGTAAGCCAACGCCTCCTTCTCTTGGCATTCTGCCCCAGCTTAATACTTTTTCACTTAATTAATACCTCTTAGGAGAGGTATATTTTAGAAGACTTAAAATTCAAGAATATGCCTTCTCTTCAACACTTTCAGCTCTCTTGATTCCTTCTTTTTGGGGGGAGGGAGTAGGGGTGTCCATGTGTATATGGAGATCAGAAATGAAGATCAGACGTCTTTTTCAAGTGATCACCTCCTTACTGGGGGAACATGGTCTCTCATTGTACCTGGAATCCATCAGTTCAGCTAGACTGTCTGGCTAAAAGCCCCAGGGATTCGCCTACCTTTGTTTCCTTGGTTACTGGAATTGCAGGTGTACCACCAACTCTGGTTGTTCATATGAGCACTGGAGATCTGAACTTCAGTCCTTTCCTGTGTGTGGCAAGCACTATAATGACTGAGCCTGCTCCCCGCTCTTCTCATTCTAGCTTCAAATATAAATGAACAGTCCTGTGTGGTAAAAAATAATCTTAAATAAACAAAAGACAAGATCTGTTTCTCTGTCTCTCTCTCTCTCACTGTCACACACACACATACACACAAGCATAAGCTTATCAGCAACTTATCAAAATAAATTCATGAGAGAGACCATATTGATGGCCAATATCTATGTTGCTACAGTATGGATCTGGAATGTTCCTTCAAGAACCATATGGTAACAGCCTGGTGCCTGCCCTGTGATATACTGGGAAGTAATGGAAGCTTCGAGAGATAGGATCTGATGACAGATTTTACATGTCTGGAAGAGTGCTCATCAAGAGGGTTATGGGTCTCTGGTCTCCCCTCTGTTTGCCTTTCAGTTTCTATAGCATGAGCAATTTTCTCTAGTGTGTGTGCCTGATATGATGTATTCCCATGCACAGGCCCGGAAGCAAAGAGCCATCTGATGACAGACTGACACGTTGAAGACTGGGAGCTAAAAGAAACCTTTTCATAATCAAAAGCTGACATGCACATATGAAATCTTCATGAAAAGCAAACTAAAATAAGATTATTTTTAATTTTTTTTGAGACAGGGTTTCTCTGTGAAACAGTCCTGGAACTCACTCTGTAGATCATGTTTAAAGATTTTTTGTTTTGTTTTGTTTTTTGAGACAGGGTTTCTCTGTGTAGCTTTGTAGACCAGGCTGGTCTTGAACTCACAGAGATCTACCTGCCTGTGCCTCCTGAGTGTTGGGTTTAAAGGTGTGCGCCACCACTGCCCAGTAAGATTTTTTTTTTGCTTTTAATGTATGTGTATCTGTGCATGTCTGTGTGAGTGTATGTTACATATGTGAGGTACGATGGAAGACCAGAAGAGGGCATCAATACCCTGGAACTGGAGTTACAACTGGTTGTGATCTATACAATGTGGATGTGGGGAACATAACTCAGGTCCTCTGAAGGAACAGCCAGTACTTTTAACTAGTGAGTCAATTCCCTGCTTATTTATTTATTTATTTGGTCCATTTAGTAAAAGTAATCTTCTATTTGTTTTTAGTACCCTAACAATACTGTTGGAAGAGTGGGGGAACAAGATTTATCAAGTTGAGTGAGTAGAAGTGTAAGCTAATTTGTCTTCTAGGAAAGCAATTGCAGTGACGTGTGCCAAGTTTTTAAACTTTTCTTGGTTAGCAGAACAAAGAAATAACTGGGGCTATAGACTGAGATTCTTCTACTCTATAGCATATTAAAAGACACTATAAAAAGGATACTCTATTCTCTAGCATATTAAAAACAGCAAAGAGCAGGCATGATCTAAATGCCTATCATTGTGGAAATGGCTAACTAATTTGTAGTTTCTAGATACTGTGAAATGACAAAAACTAATAAGGAAGGATTATACACATTCCTAAATGTATACTCACAGGTATATGCCTCTATATTGTCTTTGGTACCATACCAAGGAATATATCACATGCGTATTTATGTATATTATCTGGGTACCCTCCCCTTGACACATGTAAAGACCTATAACCTCCATGACTTTGGATATTGCAGCACCAGGCATTGACAACTACCTGTCTAGAAATGCTCTCTTCACAGTCTATCTCCACCTCCCTTGTGAATCCATCACCTCCAGTTTCCAGGACAGCAGGCCTTCTCTTTCTAGGCATTCTCCTTCAGCCCTGCCTCCACATTATTAGCATGTTATTAGCTTCTCTTCTACACTGATCTATCTGCCCACCATACAAATAAGTTGTCACTTCTGAGATTTGTCATCCCTTGCCCCATAAAATAGAATTATCCTCTTCAGTTCACTTCTGCCATTCCCTCAATCCCCATTCCATCAGATTTCAAAGACACAAATACTGAAACCATCATTTGCCTTGTTTCTTTTTTATTCTTTATATCTTACCTACCTTAGTATCTTTTAATAAGGTTTTTCTTTAAATACATCCTCCAGATAGATCACCTTTTCACTATTGCATATAAGACTTCACATATTTAAACTAATGTCTCTCCCTCCCATTTTACCCAATGTCTAAATGTTACCTCCTATGGGACTAAGCCTCAGTGACACTTGATTCATTCTAAAATATTTATTTAAAAAATTCATGGTGCAGTGTTGGAGAGATGAATCAGTGGTTAAGGGCACTTGCTTCTTTTCTAGAAGACCTGAATCCAATTCCCAGCACCCACATCAGGCAGCTCACAATTGTCTGTAACTCCAGCTCTGGGGGATCCAATACCTCTTCAGGCCTGACACTCATGTGCATAGTTACATGCAGACAGCACACCTACACTGCCCTGGCCAGCAGGACACAGCGAAGGTCTAACCCATGGGAACCTGGAATGATGGAACAAGAGACAAGAAAAAGATAACAAGACAACATGGCTGATCAAGCTGTGAGATTTTATTTTCCTTAGGTGTGTTATATAGCGGTTAGGGCAGGAAAACTAGGTAGGGCAGAGTAATCAAAGGAGAGGGGTCTTTGTTGGCAAGGTGAAAGGATCGCAGAAGGAGGGGTTGTTAAGTGATCTAATTGTGGAATGTGTCCTTTTTTGCCATCAGCTATTCCTGTGAGCCCAAGTTCTATTCATTAGGAAGCTGGAGAGGGGAAGAAGGTTGGTTGGGACTGAAGATAGCTATTCTTTTAACACAATGGACTATCCTGAAAAAGGACTGGCAATATTTACAAGAGGTCCTAAAAACAATGATTGCTCCCCACACTACACATGACTGAAAAGAAATCTTAAAAAAAATCTATGGTAGTATCAGATACTGGGTGTGGCATTAAGGGTATTACCGAAACCAAGACAAATAAGAACTCTTCGTCTTGGAGCTTACATTCTAGTAAGGGAAGGGAAAGTCAAATAACAGAAGAAGAAATAAGTAAGGGAGCTCTAGGTGGTCCAGTAATGAAGAGGTGGTGATGGAGGGTGGATGTGCTCTGACCCTTTGGCTCTTCTAGGTTTCTCCCGCCCATCAGATCTAAGCTCCCTACAGCCCATCACCCTCACTCGGGCTTCTGCTTTCAACTTTCTCCTAAGTTCTAACTATGGTTGTGCTAGCTGTAGCATCCCTCTCAGTGCATGGATATTTTTGGTGACAAGATTTACAATGTGAACATCTTACTGTCCTTCATGAGCCTGGGGTTTGACCTCGGATATCTATTATGGTTTCAGTAGGTATTTGTTGAACAAGCAAATGAATGGCTGCTTCGTTTCAACATCCTCTTCACTAGGTTCCCATTGCCAGTCTGTTCCTATTCAGCCACTCTTGGATTTTGCAAGACATTGTTTTCATCTCTTTATCTAGCTCCATTTAAGAACTCTTAGTGACACCTTATACTTTCCCATGTACCACATCAAGCCTAAATGGACCAAACTCTCTCTATTATATCCCTCTAATTACAATTGACCACTACTTCCTGTAGAAATCTTTCTGAGAACATTAGCTTGCTCATCTAATTGTCTCCAACCACTGCTTTGATCATATCCTACTAAGTTTATAGGGACATTAATGGGATTGAATGCTTGTAAGCATATTTATCAAGCACTGGTTATGTGTCAGCCACTGTGGTAGACACAGACATGCTCAAGTGAATGGGAAGGTCACGGTGACCACCCTCATAAAGGATATAGGCCTACATGTGACAACTGGAAAATCCTGCAGAGAGCTAACCAGTAGTTAGCAGTAATGCTACTTCCTCCCATTTCTATGCTTCTTGGCCTTGTGGCTCATCTGTCCTGAGGCGCTCGTCCCCTTCCTCTCTGCTTCCAACTATACTTGTCCTTAAAGCCTAGAAGAAGTCACACCTCCTGTAGTAATCTCACACTGATCCACTCACAGCCTGCATGTCTCAGATTAGTACTTACTGTATACCAGTTCTTACTAATTGTTCTCCACAATTGCACAGATTATAAGCACCGGGGAAAAAGAATTGTTGTACACTTCCTTACATTCTTTTATAATAGTACTTACCACCTGTGTGACTATCATCCAATCCACATAGTGATCCTGGAGAAATGGAAGAAACAGAGATAGTATCCAGAATAGACAAAGAATGCCTATAGAATTAGGCAACAGAATTTGAGAAAACAAAAAATGGAAAATGGTATTTAAAATACATGAAAGACAATATCAAAACACCAGTGAAAATTTATTCAGCCCTGTTAGGTAGAGGTCAGGTGAATACAGATCAAACCACAGAGATCTAGTCACACCTATCACATCTCTGAAATCAATGTGTGAAC